TTATTATATATATTGAATTTATCATATATATTGAATTAAACACAAATCCTTATGATAGGTTTTCCTAGTAAAATATATATACTAATATAAATGTTCATTAGTAAAAAAAAAAAATTTTAAACCACCTCTGAGAGAGGGAAAATGGAAGATTATTACCAAGTCTGCTAAGAAACGTTTTTTTCTTAGACTGTCTCTCCATATCACCTCTGAAGTGTATAAATGGTATTTGCTTAGGAAAAAAATGACTTAAAATTTAGTCAAAGATTAAACATTAAGTGAAGGAACATTTAACCTGACATTCTCAATTTGCAAAATTAAATATTGATAAGACTTTTGGAATAAGAAAAAAAAAAAAACCTTCCCTCAACTTCCCTTCCTTGAATCTTGATTTTCCATTTCACCATACTTAAGGGCTCTTAAAAATTTATTCATTATTGAACTCAAATATTAATATTTTCACAGATGCTGTATGTGTCATGGCTAGTTGATCTGAGGATATAATTTATGGTGGATTCAGCCCTTTGATTTAAAAAGACCAGCTAAGAATCAGCCACACAACTTAGGTTGGTTTTCTAGTAACTCCCATTTCCTCCCAAATTTTGACATACTTATTTAATTCTCCTAGCTTTAAATAATTTGAGGGATCAAATTTGATGGTTTTATGAAAGTTTTGGTGTTTGTGATATGTCATGAATTCTGTAAGAATCATCTTTGGAGTTTTGGATACTCAAAAACCCACATAAATTCTTAGAGTTAACAAATAGAAGTGAAATCCTAAATATACCTGAACCACTTTGACAAGTGGATGCCTTAGAAAGCATGCCTGTAACTTCTCTCCCTTTCTCCTACTACCCAACCCCAATTCCAGAAGCATGGGAGAACAATGTAGACCTTTACTCTAAAGAATTAGGAGATTATACTGCACAGGGCACCTCAAAAAGCATGGCTAATTTTAAAGTCCTCTTTAAATGCCTTATTTTTAAGGAGGTATTGTAAAACACATTCTCTGTTCTTTCAAACACATGTGTACACACATGCACACATGTTTTCTCTTTCCTCTATTTTTCCTGACTTTAATACTTTCTCTTCCTCTCGTCATATCTCCTTCCCCATTTTTGTTCATCTTTGTAGGGTCCTTTTTTCTTCTATATCGTTTCTTCCGGATGTTTTCTTCAGTTTTTTCTTATATACAGCAATTTGGCATTCTTTTGGCCTCTCCTCCCTATCACTGTATTCAGTACAGCAGAGGTCTCATATATAGCCACATGAACAAATATTTTCTCCTTCAGAGGACTGAGGGTTGCAAATATAGATGTATCCCATCAAATGCAGTAGAGGAGGAAATTCCTTCCTGGAGAAAATCCCACTAACTGAATTTAACATTCTAGAGTGTCGTTATAATATAGCCCCTATGGAGATATGTTCCAATAGTAATTCTTAATTAATAATACAATTGAAAGTCTGTTCAGTGACATCTTTATTATTTCTGCACACTTTATAATTGTTCTAATGGTGGAGGTAGGCCTAAACCATAACCCCAAATGCATCTCATGCAGAGTCTCTCAAGCTGCGTTTTAAACCATTTAAACAATTCCGTATTTATTTATACTTTGAAAAACCATCATACATTTTGGTAGTAATCAAAATACCTTCAAAAGAAAATGCGCAACTCAAATCAGGAAATATAAAATAGACCCACACTTATATGGTAAATTGGTTTTTTAATAAATAGTTTAAAAACAACTATATGTCCATATTTCATAAAATAAACCTTACCCTTTACCTCACAATACACAAAATTGACTTGAAATGGATCATAGACCTAAATATAAAATCTATAATTATAAGGCTTCTAAAATAAAATATAAGAGAATATTTTTAGACAAGATAGGCAAAAATTTATTAGCATATAGAAAGCAATAACCATAAAGGAAAAAATTGATAAATTAGACTTCATGAAAATTAAAAACTGATTGTCAAAATAGAAATTATAAGCCACAGACCAGCAGAAATATTTTTAATAAATATATTTGACTATATTTGTTATCTATTGCTGAGTAACAATTCCAAAGCTTAGTATCTTAAAACAGTAATAATCATTTCTGTCTTGTGCTTTCTGTGAATAAGAAATTTGGGAGAGGTTTGACTGGATGGTTCTGGCACAGATTTTTTCATGAGGTTGCAGTCAAATGTTGACTAGGACCTTAGTCATTTAGCCTGCCTGAGGGTGTAAGATTCATTTCTAAGGTTTATACTCCAAAGAAATGAAAGCAGATAGTCAAACAAATACTTGTACATGAATGTACACAGTAGCACTAGGTAGAAACAACCCAAATATTCTTCACTGGATGAATGGATAAACAAATTGTTGTATGCATGCAATAGAATATTATTTGGCAATAAAAAGGAATGAAGTACTGATCGATGCTACAACATGGATGAACCTAGAAAACATTATATTACTCGAAAGAAACCAACCCTATTGTATGGTTAAAATGGTGAATTTTCTCTTATGAATTTTATCAACAATGAAAAATAAACCTCCAAAGGAAAAATAAAGAAGGGCAAAGAAAGTCGTTCTGGATTAATGGAGATTAAAGAGACATGACAACTAAATGCCATTTATGACTTTGGATTGTATCCTGGACTGGGAGGGAAATAGCTATAAAGGAAATTATTGAGACAGTTGACTAAATTTGAAAGACTATGGATTAGATAATAGTATGTATCAGTATGAAGTATCCTGGTTTTATTAAATTTATACAGTGGTATGTAAGAACATGTCTTTGTTCTTAGGAAATATATACCAAAGTATTTAAGTGTAAAGGGGTATGTGTCTTCAACTTACTTTCAAAACAGTGCAGAAGAAAAAATATGTATATAAAATGATAAAGCAGATAAGGTAATGTGTAAGCTATTGGTAAATCTGAGTAAAAAGTATACAAAAGTTCCTTATATGGATCTTTCCACTTTTCTGCATTGAAATTATATCAGAATTAAAAATTAACAACCAATTTAGATTTGTCTTTTTGTCTTTCTGAGCAGCAGCATTGTCCGGTTGATTATTCTAACAATAATGTTAGATATGCATCTTTGGCTTAGCTGCCTCATTTTACTCTGTCCTTAGACTTTTGTCTGTTTTTCAACTTCTGGATTCTAATATGTTACTTATTTCATTTGCTTATAGCATTCACTCTGTAAGATGACTACATAATTAATATGAAGTAGTCAGCCTCTGTACACATTTATTATTCTGGCTAGTATTTGTATGCCTTTGGTAGCTGATTTTCATTTCGTGTATTTTTTCTTATTGACATACTTTACTTTTGCAGTATTTTGTATAATGTAAAAAATGTAACCATTTGTTCCTTTTATTTTGAGAAATTAAAATACTACCTTCCCAATGAAAAGCTTTTCTGCTCTTGTTCTCATCCAGTAGCTTTTTTTGGTCTGAAAATTGTGTTTAATTTCTTGGTAGAAGATCAAGTGTGGAGATCTAACCTTAATTTGAACATACTGGACTATGTGCTCATTTTTGTTGTCAGCTCAAAGAAGTAATCTCTAAATGCTGTCAAGTAGGACTATGCTTTCTGTCTACCACAAATGCGTTAGAGAAGCCATTTCCTAAGTAGAAGCTACCATCAAACCCTCATACTGCTTTATTAACATTTAACTATGGATTTTTTCCTTTCTATGATTACTGTTTCATATGAACAAACAAATAGCCAGTGAAGGCTATTTTGAGTGGGTTTACTAAGATCATGATAATTCACTTGGTACTTGTGTTTTCAGTTGGTTAACCAATTTTCTTTCCTTTGTGGTGTATGATGGGATCTTCATTAGACAGAGGTAACCTATTGGATAGTTGTGTACCTGGATGCTGGTGTGGTGGTGCTTGTTGGTTTCGTTTTTATGATACTCCTCCCAAGATTATGTTTGCAGTGCTGCTTATTATTTTGCACTTGCATGATATTACTTTGCGCTTTGTTTAGGTTCTTGAAACCTCGTATATCTTTTTTTGGTACCCACAATAATTCTTTGACTATCTTTGGTTGGCCCAGAACTTACAAAATTAGTTTCAAAACTAACTCTTTGGTGGATCCTTTTCAGTTTTTGAAAATATCTTCAATGTCACCACCAAGTTTATAATTTGGCTAAGAATTTAGAAAACAGGGTAGGTTTGTTTAAACACCCAGGAAGAGACCACTTGCCAGACAAGTGGTAACTATCTCTGTTAGCTTTATAGATTAAAGCTAACTCTGTTTGTTAGCTTTATAGATTAGATTAAAGAAAAGAAATATTTACTTTTACTTAAAGTAAAAGCTAAATTTTGGGAGAGTTGCATCAAATAGCTGAAATTTAGGAGCGTCCACCAAGATAATAGTAAATATAATTAAATTAAACCATGCCAAAAGTTTAGCATGCATGTCTGATTTGCCATTATATTTTAGAGATGCTATTTACTCTGCAAACTGTTTTACATTCCAAAACTAAGATTCTTGGGAATCATAAAGAAAAATTTAAATTAGTATTTTAGAATTTAGTTTTCTGAGCATTTTGTGGAAATGATTGATTACCTCTTCATTTCTAATCACTAGTAGTATAGTTTTCTTGGGCAGTAATAACTGACTTCGTTTACAATTTTTTATTTGTTTTTATTTTTTTCTACTTTGTATACTTCTGAAGAAGAAGGTAGATTGTTTTTAAAGCTAAGAAAACTAGCCCTGAAGTGGTCTTGCATATGTTAAATGGCAGGAGTTCATAAAATTGAAGTTATTTTCCAATATTTATATTAAGCCACTGTTGAAACAAACATTATCTTTTATCTTATCATTTTAATCATCTTGAAAATTGTAAAGGATCCATGAATTTGGAATGGCCATCAGAGAAATGCTTATGATAAATATCATAAAACTGTCAGATAAATAGTAATTCATTTTTAACTTTTTATGTTCTCATTCTATCTTTTTATCTTTTGGTGGAACCCATACGTTTAATAGAAATTTGCCCAGGAACGAGAAAAATTTGCTGATGAAGGCAGTATATTTTACACCCTTGGAGAATGTGGACTCATATCCTTTTCAGACTACATTTTCCTTACAACTGTTCTTTCTAGTAAGTATAAACTTTTCTTTTTATTCATTTATAGGGAGCATACAAGACCATAAAAAGAGTTAAGTTGATTAGAGGGGGAAAGAAGACACGTTTGTAGAGTTAATTGATTATAAGTTACATAAAATTTCATTTATTTTGAATTCTCTATAACTTGTATATAAAACCACCTGAGAAAGAAGAAAAGTATCAAGTTGCTTTTTTTAAAAAAGCAACTATGAAGTTACATCTACCTTTAACTATTTGAAGTCCTGTATTCTGTCAAGATAAATTATAGATTGCCTCTTCCTGTATAGCTTTCTGCTTCTCCAGCAAAACATGTATTGATCTATCATTTCCTCCCCTAAAGGGGAAAATTGGTTCAGTTGTTCTAATTGTGTTGAATATTCATTTTTGAATCTCAGAGGATAACTATTTAAGACACAACACTCATATTTGACTCATGTAGAGCACTGATGACTTTTCTTGATTTTTTAAAGCTAAACAATTTTGTCAATTAGTATGCTACTCTAAGTGTTTCTTAATTTTATTTCCTTTTAGTGGGATATTTTTAACTATTGAGAAAAACAAAACAAAAAGTTATGTTTCTAGCTCTCTGTGTACACACTATTAAAACCTATCTAAATTGAATCAAAGAGATCTGATTTGTATGTTTGAAAAAGGCGATTCTCAATTTTTTTCCATCTGGGACATCTCAAACAAAAATAACCACCCCTTTTTTCCCTTCTCCAGGATAGTGATCTGTAAAGATAAAACTATAAGACAGTTTTTAATAAATAACATATAGAGTCCCTGCCCTGGCTGTGACCACTTTTACCTGTCTATCTGGTTGACAGGAAAATGAAGAAATACAGACTAATATGACTTACTACAGCTGTCTTTGGGGTACAAAGGTGTCTGAATAAATTTATATGGTGGGCCAATACTCTAGCAATGTAAATATACATTGATTTGTTATGAAAGTCCAAAACAGTAAACTAATTGAAAACACATGTATGATCTCAAATTGTGTAGTGTTGTTAGTTATTATTTTGGTGGGACATGGGTTTTCCAAAAAAGCTTCAGTTCAAGTCCTAGCCCCACCAACTCTTAGCTTTGTGATGAGGGGCAGGGCAATGAACTTGTCTATCTCTTTTGTCTGTAAAATGATTTATTCGAGGATTAGGAGATCACGAATATAAATAATACCTAGTTTGGTGCCTACTATTTAGTAGGTATTCAGTCTGTCTGGGTTTTTATTCTTGATATCCTGTCATAACATGTTATTTCATACCTAATTTTAAAAGATTCATAAATCGTGTCATTTAAAAACCTCAGCAAAATTGGTGGGGATTTTTTAAACTTTTTTGTGACTTTGGATAGAATTTACATTAAATAAGCATGATGTGGCAGAAAGAGTACTACATTAAATGATAGACCAACTTGGAGAACTTCACTGATATGGAATATGTACTGTAGAAGTAGTCCTAGAAATGTAGAGCTGAAATGAGATTTTAACTTGTATCCACTGCTTAGTCCTATTACTTTTATTTCATATCTTTCTAAGTGTCAGAAGGACCACAGAGCAGAACCTTCAGAATACCTGGCACGTTTTGTAACTCCCTTAGTCAACCGTTTAAAAGCAGATAAAAAAAATTAAAAGGTCATGTTGGCCCTTGAGTTCTGGAAACCCCTCCAAGAAGCTCTGCTGGTCCTGACACGTTTACTTCTCGGAGCTGAACTCCTAACTTAAACATAGTGATTTTTGAAAAGTGCTTAGTATTTCGATGTCATATACTTTCTGTTTTTGTCAAGAATGAGAAAATATAAGAGTATGATTTTAAGATTTTCTCTTTATCACTGTTTTTAAGCATTTTGGTTATTATATGCCTTCAGTGTTTCTCGACCTTAGTACTGTTGATGTTTTGGGCAGGATAATTTATTGTTCTGGAGGCTGTCCCGTACGTTGTAGGATGTTTAGCAACATTCGAAGCCTCTACCCACTAGACACCAGTATTATACTCTCTCCCCATCCTAGATGCAACAACTGAAAATGTCTTCAGGATTTGCCAAATGTCCCCCAGGAGGTAGGCATGGAGAGGAATCATCCCTCATAGAGAACCACTGATGTAGTGTTCGGCAAATTGGGTTTTGGAGTTTTCTTGTTGGGGTTTTTTGTTGTTGTTATTGTTGTTGTTATTTCTATTATTGTGTGCCTTGACGTAGTATTCTATATGTTTCTTGTCTTGAAGTTCTTTGTACTTTTGGATCTGTGGGTTTATGGTTTCTATCCAGTTGGGAAAATTTTCAGCCATTATTTCTTCAAATACTTCTTTGCTGTTCCTTCCTTTCCTTTGAGGACTACAAATAACATACATTTACCTCACATCAACCCCATAATGTTTGTACTATTATTATCTTCATTTTACAGAAGAGGAAATTGAGGCAGACAGAAAGTTACTTACAAAGAACTTGCTCTGAATCCCACAAGAAATAGGTGATTCAGGGTTTGAACCCAGGCTAACCCCAGCATCTGGGCTCCTGTTGCTTGGGTTTTATTTTAATCAATAATAATTTTTTATTTTTTAGTTATAGTTGGTATATAATACTATATTAGTTTCAGGTGTACAGTAGAGTGATACTCATCAATATAACTCACAAAATAATCACCCCAATAAATCTAGTGCCCTTCTGACACCACATACAGTTGTGACAATATTATTGGCCATATTCCGTATGCTATAATTTGTATCTTCATGACCACTTGAAACTACAGATTTTTAGTTCTAAATCCTTTCCCCACTTTTACCGACCTCCCCTATCCGCCTTCCATCTGGTGATCCTCAAAATGTTCTCTGCGTCTATGAGTTTGTTTCTGTTTGTTTTTTATTTTGTTCGTTAGATTCCACATATACGTCTGCTTATATGGCATTTGTCTTCCTCTATCTGACTTACTCCATTCAGCACAATACCTTCTAGGTCCATCATGAAATATGTTTGTCCATCCTCTTTTAGTCTGTGTGTGTCTTTTAATCTGAAGTGAATCTCTTATAGACAGCCTATGTAAGGGTCTTGTTTCCTTATCCATTTAGCCACCCTATCTTTTGATTGGAGCATTTAATTATTTTTCATTTGAAGTATTTGTTGATAGATATGTAGTTATTGCTATTCTTTATTTAGAATTTTGATACATATTTGTTTCTTCTTAAAGAAGTCACCCAAACATTTCCTGTAATACTAACTTGGTGGCGATGAACTCCTTTAGCTTTTCTTGTCTGAGAAGCTCTTTATCTGTCCTTTGATTTGAAATGATAACTTTGCTGGGTAAAATAATCTTGGTTGTAGGTCCTGGGTTTTCATCACCTTTAATATTTTGTTCCAAGCCCTTCTGGCCTGCAAAGTTTATGTTGAGAGATCGACTGACAGTCTAATGGGTGTTCCCTGGTATGTAACTAATTGCTTTTTTCTTGCTGCTTTTAAGATTCTCCCTTTGAATTTAACCTTTGGTATTTTAATTATGATACGTCTTGGTGTGGGCCTCTTTGGGTTCATCTTGTCTGGGACTGTCTGTGCTTCCTGGGATTGTATGTGTATTTCCTTCACCAGGTGGGGAAGTTTTCTGTTATTATTTCTTCAAATAAGTTTTCAGTTCCTTGCTCTCTCTCTTCTTCTGGCACCCTTATGATGTGAATGTTGTTATGCTTGACGTTATCTTAGAGGCTCCTTAAACTGTCTTCATTTTTTTGGATTCTTTCGCTTGACGTTATCCTAGAGGCTCCTTAAATTGTCTTCATTTTTTTGGATTCTTTTTTCCTGTTGCTGTTCTGATTAGTGTCCAATGCTACCCTGTCTTCTATGTTGCACGTTCGATCCTCCGCTTCATCTATTCTGTTGATTCCCTCTAATGTACTCTTCATCTTAAATATTGTATTCTTCTCTTCTGAGTGGTTTCCTGTTATGTTCTCCATCTCCATTTTTATGTTTTTTTTATCTCTTTGTTAAAGTTCTCACTGAGTTCATCTACTCTTCCCTTAAATTCCTTGAGCATCGTGATAACCAGTGTTTGGAACTCTGCATCTAGTAGATTGCTTGTTGCCATTTTGTTGAGTTCTTTGTCTGGAGTTTTGTTCCGTTCATTCATGTGGGACATGCTTCTTTGTCTCCCCATTTTGGCTGCCTCTCTGTGTCTGTTTCTACGTATTATGTAGGGCTCCTAAGTCTACCAGTCTTAGTAGAGTGACTATGTAGTAGGTGTGCTGTGGGGCCCCTTAGCACAGACCTGAGAGGAATCCAGCTGCAGGCCAAGTTCAGCTGCACCCTGTACACCTCTGGGGCCACCTGCTAAGAGTCACCAAGCAATCCAAAGATGGCTGCCACCCATGCTGGGCTTATAAGTGCCTCAAGGGGCCAAGTCAGAAACTGAAGCTGGCTGCCAGAAGTGCAGGGCTTGGGGTTGCTCAGCAAGAGGTACAGGGCATGCCAAGGCCAGATGCTGCCTTTTTGGGTTTTGTGAACCTTTTGAGAGCTTTTATGAAAGTTCACAGAAGTCAAAACAGCCCGTTTGTATGGAATAAATCACTGGAAGCAATTGGGTGAGCCCACAAGTTGAGAGAGACAGAGTCTCAGGGAATATCCTGGGTGGAGTGACATGTGTGCTGTCCAAATTGATGGTGCCTCTGTGCAGGCTAGGAGTAGGGATGGCTTGACAAAGGAACTTTGGCTTCTGTCTACACCTTTTTCCAGGAGACAGCTGCCCCTCCAGCCCTCGCCTGAAGCCTAACAACTCAGTGCCTCCCTGTCTATCCCTGGCACCTTTCAAGCAGCTGCCCCAGCGCTGGGGCTCAGACCAAGCAAGTCCATTAGCAAGTAAGGCCAGCATGGGCCCTGTAAGAGGAAGGTCTCTGCTTCCTGCAGCCTTCCATCACACTCTGCTTCACACTCTGCAGGTTTTCACAGCCAGAGGTTATGGGGACTTCTCTTCCCAGCACTGGGACCCTGGGCTGAGGAGCCCAGTGTTGATCAGG